ATGACAACTTTTTCACAAAAAAATAACTTTTTTAACTTAAGTTTTGAAAATATTCCGGAAATACTCCAAGTTTCAAACATATGTTAAAATAAAGATAATTTTATGTACTATAAGTTCATAAAAATAAAATTGTCTTGACGACATATCTTCCATGTGCAAATGTTTGCCCTAGTTAAAATTTATATTTTCAGATTTTATTTTTTCAACTTTAAATTACTATAACTTTTTGAAAAATGATCAATACAATTATTTTTTCATAAATACTTTATTTTTACTTCTTTTGTTTGATATACATTTTTGAAAATCTGACTTTTGACCTGACCACAGGGAGGATTCAAAATAACATTTTTTACACACAAATTACACTTTTTCAACTTAATTTTTGAAAATTTTCCGGAAATATGACACTTTTATTTAATCTTAAATTAAAGCTTATGTAATTACTATACTATGAAAAAAAAAAAAATGTCCAGATATCATGAAAACTGTTATCCTATTAAAAAATATGCTATTTTTTTGTTAAAATTCTTGGTGTTGTATTTTTTAATTTATTTTAATATACCTTATAATTGGGTACACTGATTTTCATAAATATTATATAAAACTAATTGATATAGAATATAAAATTAAACTTATTTAATTTTTTTTTCTTTTTTTGAGTCGAAAAAATTAATTTTAGCATTTGAATCAGCTTAAATTGCCAATTTTATCAAAAATGAATGCTACGAACGTTTGCCGATTCAGTAAAAAATATTGCCTATGACAATGATATCTTTGCAATTTTTCCTGAAGTCTTTTTGAGTTAGAGTTCTGCTTTTAAATAATTCACCAATTTCTTAAAATTAAACACTATCTATAGATTTGCATCAAAGCGTTTCTAATGATAGTGAATTTAATCACTGCTTGATATCATCTATACTATTCCCAAGTATGCCACGCTCACACTATGCTGTGACCCCATAGTGCTATCGTTTTTTTATTAAAAATACTATTTATATACTTCTTTCATTCGACATAATGATACCAAAATAATTAATAATAAAATAATTAATATCATCAAATAATAATTTATAATTAGAAAGCACAAATTGTCACTGTTAAAGTAAGGATAAATAAAAATAACAACTTGAACACATGAATTACAAAAAATATCTTTATTATATTTGCTAAAATTCTATTAGGATTTTACAGTAAAAATATACAATGTTAATGTTATGTTCAAATTAAAACATTAATACTTTTATCATAAAGTATACAACTAAAAAAAAATGTTTAACTAATTTAAATGAAATAATGTTAAAAAAATATTGAAATAATTGTAAATTATATATTCAAAAATAATTTTTTATAAATTAACGAAAAAATCTGCAAATTAGCTCACTAAATGAGCAAAAAAAAAACAAAAATTGAAAAGTAAAAAATAAAAAAAAGATCTAAGTACAAAACACATCAAATGTATTAAAAAGTTATTAATTCACTTAATACAAAATCAAATTATGATGTGTATAATTTTCTCTTAACAAAATGAAGACATCCGACAGTATGTACGATAATAGATTGCAATGCAATAATAAATTACAATGTGTATAGTGACTGCGGCAAGCATAAGAATTATAAGGTAATTTACAGACATATGACAAAATACAAATGAAGTCACAATCAGTATAAAAGTCACTATTGGTGTTGAGATTATAATTGTAATAGCATATCATAAGTGTTAAGTATAAAGAAAACATCTATGGTCGAAGAAAGTCTAATAGAATTGGTTTGACTTCATATAAAAGACATAAGTTATTAAGTTCAACTATTTCATGATAAGATTTTTGTTCTATGAGATGTTGTATTGGAAGCAGTGAAATTAAGGCTTTGTCAGAATCTGTGTAATCATCAGAGGTGGGCAAAATATTGTCTAAGACTTTGTATAAAATATCAAGCCACCTATTGTTTCTCTGAAGACCAAAAAATGCAAAAGCGTGTCCGCAGTTACAATCAGGTTTCAAGATTGCATACGACTCAAACATACCAGACATTGCAAAAAGACATCCGATGGCTATTTGAGTGTACAGTGGATATCCAATTAGTAGCATATCGTTCGTAGTGTGCTTCAATGAATCTAAGATAGCATGCAAACAATTGTATTGTAACTTGACATTGTTTATACGATTTTCCAAATAAATATCTGTCAAATCACAAACTGTTGTATCTGATCTACAGTTCTTCAGTTGAGATTTAAAATACGAGCATCGAGTTTTTTTATCACTAGTTCTTTCAACGTAAGGAAATTTATCTATTATCTTATTTCTACAATCAAGTAAAGATCCATCGCAAAATTTTGATCCTCGTACTTTCGTTACCGGTTTTCCCATACAAAATTTTACCTGTGACACATCGATGTTAGATTTTTTACATCGTACAGATAAATTTTTATTCCATATATTATTTTCTAAATTGCAAAATTTTGTCATGTCCTTGTACAATATTTCAGCTTCTTCTCGAAGGCTTAAGTCATGACGGCTCATTTTTTCCGCGTACGAGACGTCAAATGTCTTCTTTTTATAATTTTTGGATACGTTCTTTGACATAAGAGTTTGGTCTTCACGAATCGGTTTTAAATTGTACCTTTTGATAAACTCTTTGCATACATAACTTTGAATATCCTTCATTTCATTATAATACTCGGCCTTTAGAAACCACGACCTAATGTTTCTCTCGATAGTTCTTATTTGTAAGTTGGAAAAATAACTTGAACACTTGAATATTTTGTTAATAAAAGTTCTGGGTATTTGTCTAAGAGGAAACATTGCATTTTCGTGATTTTCACTTTCAAAGAACGACTGAATGAAAGGCTCTGCAAATTTTCTACCTTTGTAATCTTTGCATATGATATATATTTCTGAATTCCCGGACTTACTGGTTGCTGGTTTCTGAATTTCGATAGATTCAAATAGACAACAAAGCAAATATATTCTACAAATTGTGTTACATTCGAATATCGTAAACGTTTTTAATACAAATGATCCCCTGTCTTTTAATATGTTCAAACCTACCATTACCTCGTAATTATGTAAACGCATGACAGTACATTCTTGTTCTCCTGGATCATTTTGACAATCTATACTTCCATCGGCCGTTACCAAACTTACGCCGTCTACAAATCTTTTAGAAACCGTCTCCAATAAATGTTCGTGATACTTCGGTTGAAATATGTCACCAGTATAGTCCGGGCCGAATTCCCATTTGTCTAATGTGTTCAATATTAAGCGGTCGTCAGTAATAATATCAGGTTGACCATTGGATTCATGGTACGGGTTAAGTGTCATGGCCAACCAGTCGAAATTTAAGTTACGATGATTTAGTGATATGTAATGATTCAGTGCAGAAATAAATGCTCCGGGAGCTTCACAGAGATGTACAGAGTTGAAATTAGCTTTGGATGTACGTTCTTGAGTAAGCAAAGAAGAATTGCCTAAGATCTCATAGAACTTACACCAAGCTTGAGTCAAAAAATCAGGACGTATATTTTTCTTAAGATGACTAATGACTAATCCAGCAGGATTCATTTTGGTCGTATGTGCATGCCATGTTTCGCTGTTGAAGTTGTCCAGTTTGTTCTTAACGAAATTCAGCTCTGATTTCAGTTCTTGAAACTTGTGTAATTGCCAAGAAGGCTTTGTAAACATACTACTCGAGCGCGGCATTCGCCAATTTGTACTAAGTACAAACTTTTTAGAGAACGCTATAGCTTTTTCGTTATGTTCGGTTTGAGGTGTCATTGTGTGAAAAAATACTTAAACTTTCTTCGTTCACGTCAAATCGCCTCCTGAGGAGAAAACTATTTATTTTATCTAAGCATATAAAATTTTGTTTCCTAGAAACGGATTTCTGTATGTTTATTTATGAATAAAAAAACTTTTGGCCTAATCTAAAATTAAATAATTATTCCACGATAAAATTTTATACTTTTAAATAAAATAATTATACTAATGTAAGTAATCAACTTTCAGAGTAATAAAAAAAGAATATACTTATCAATTTTGGAGAAAAAAAATATTATTTTTTTTTTGGTTACAAAAAATATTACAAAATACTTAAACAATGTAACATTTGATAAAAAACCTTATTTTTAAGCCAACGTTTTTTAAATTAATATTTTACATAGTTTAAATAAAAAATTTTTTTTCCCATAATCAGGAGACTAATCTGCAACTTTTTATTCCATTAGAATTTAATTATTAACATTTTCAATATTTAGTTCCAGCTAATGACCACGAAGGGACTTATTTACTAGCTTAATTTAATTATAACACAAAAATTGAACAACATAAGTTTTATTATTCAAATTATTTGTGAAAATATTAAATTAACTTCGATGCTCAGTTTTTTTATTTTATTTTATAAATCCTACTTTATTTTAATTTTTTGCTAAGTATGTTGGCAATCCTCGTTTTTATTTTTTTAAGGTTTCGTGTGAGGAATCTTGTTTTATACTATTATTCGTTGTGTCCAGTAACTAAATTTTAACGTGTACCCTTACTTTCAAAAAAGATAAATAAAGTAAACATTTCTTTTTATGAGTTTCGATTAAGAACTGGTTGTAAAAAGTTTCTAGTTAAAAAAATGAGCTACATTCTTTTATCTCTTTATTATTTTATTAAGGTAGCTATAATATGTATCAATTTAAGCAATACTTTTTTGATTATTTAATTAAACACTGGAACTTAAGTTTTTGAAATGACTTCTCTGTCAAAAAAGTATCTTAAAATTAATAAAATATCACATTTTATTATATTGTTATATTTCTATAATATATTTATCAATAATAACAATTTTAAATAACGTAAATAATTATTTATTTATTTATAATTGATTTTTAGAACCTTCAAAAGGTGATCTTGTTTATTAATATATAAATGATAACATCATATTATATGCTAATATTATAAGTGATAAAGTAATATTACAAAGTTTCTTGAAACAGGGCGTTACCAACAGAAAAAAAATGTTAATAAAATATATATGATTTTTTTTATATTATGAAGTTAAATATTATTTAAACAAGTAAAATGTCAAAAATACGCCTAAGAAATATTTTAATGAATATAGAAATAAAAAATTTGAACAGAAAACTAATATCTATATTTAGTACAATATTTGATTATATCAGGGTAAACATTTTGAGTACTTTTAAAAACAATATATTTATCTAATGGTTGTGCAAAATTATTATTAAATTCAATTTCTCCATAATTGTAATGAAAGTAACTGACTGGTTTATTTAAATCAGCAATTCTTGTTATGTCTACGTCGCTTACACAACCATTTTTATAGGCATATTTTAGGCAGTCTAAATGTCCATTTTCAGCAGCCTCTCTCATCGTACCTTCATCCCAATTACATCCATTTTTATGGGCATATTTTAGGCAGTCTAAATGTCCATTTGCAGCAGCCTCTCTTGTCGTACCTTCATCCCATTTACACCCATGTTCATGGGCATATTTTAGGCAGTCTAAATGTCCATTTGCAGCAGCTCTAGTTGTANAATTACATCCATTTTTATGGGCATACTTTAGGCAGTCTAAATGTCCATTTGCAGCAGCCTCTCTTGTCGTACCTTCATCCCATTTACACCCATGTTCATGGGCATATTTTAGGCAGTCTAAATGTCCATTTGCAGCAGCTCTAGTTGTACCCTCATCCCAATTACTTTTCTTTTCGTGGACATACTTTAAACAGTCGATACTACCACTTGCAGCAGCAGCTCTAGTTGTACCCTCATCTCAATTACATTTCTTTTCGTTGACATACTTTAAACAGTCGATATTACCACTTGATGCAGCTGCTATAGTTAAACCCTTAATACATCCACATCCATTTTCGTAAACATATATTAAACAGTCTAAACAGCCGCTTGATGCAGCAGCTATAGTTATGCTTTCATCAAATTCAAATCCTTTTTCATGAGCGTATTTTAAACATTATATATGCCCATTTTCAGCAGCGACTCTAATTGTACTTTCATCCCATTTGCATCCATTTTCATATGCATACATTAAACATTCTATATGCCCATTTTCAGCAGCAGCTCTAGTTGTTCTTTCGTCCCATTTACATTTATTTTCACGTGCATACATTAAACAATCTAAATGCCCATTATAAGCAGCTGCTGCCGTTACTGTTTCATCCCATTCGCAATGTTCTGTATGTGCATATTTTAAAGACTCTATACTACCACTTAAAGCAGCATTCATTGTTGTATATTTATCCCAGGGGAACTCTTTTTCGTGAACGAATCTTAAAATATTTATATTACCGCTAAAAGCAGCTGCTGCTGTTACCGTCTCATCCCACACACAACCACTTTTATAGGCATAAAGAAAGCAGTCTAAATGTCCCTGTCCAGCAGCAGCTCTAATTGTGTCTATACTTATTTTACCTCCATATTGGTTAGCATATTCTAAAAGTTCTTTATATCCATAATAAGCAGCTATTGCTGTGACAGCTCCATCTATTTCGCATCCATTAATATGTGCATATTTAAAACAATTTAGATACCCCTTTACAGCAGCAGCTCTAGTTGTGCTTTCGTTCCATTTACACCCATTTTCATGGGCATACTTTAAACAATCTAAATGCCCATAAAAAGCTGCTGCTGCCGTTACTGATTCATCCCATTCACATTTATTTTTATGAAGGTATATTAAGCAATCTAAATGTCCATTCTCTGCCGCCATTTGAATCGTATCTTCGTCCCATTCGCATTTATTCTTGACAGCTAATTTTAATGTTTCAATGTCACCATATTTAGCAGCTTTTGACGTTGTGCCTTTTTGACATAGTTTTTCGTTGTCCGAGTATTTGGTTTTAATTGCTACATTATCACAATTATTAATTAATTTTAACAATATCAGAATTTGATTTAGACTACTAAAAAAGTTCTAATTAAATAGAAATAGTTCAACTAAAATTTTCATTTTTTCAAATTCATGGTTAATAAAAATTATAACCTTATGAGAAACTAAAATTCTATTTTTAGCTTCGATGCGAATTTGAGAAGGTATTAATTTTACCATGATGTGTTTATTATTATTTTTTTTTTTATGTCTGTTGCCATTTTTTCTCATCTCTCACTGGACCGATTTCTTTCAACAATACGTCAAAAGATCATAAATCGTATCTAGTTAAAGACATTACCCTTACAAATTAAAAAATTTTTCTTCGTTCCCCACAAATGAGGGAAATCTTCCAAAAAATTACAATTTTTAAAATCGATAAATTTTGTCATTTTTTTCTTAAACATTTCATAACTTTTTCAAAAATCAACATAATTTATTTTTATTTTAAAACCTTAGACATTTCTCTTTCATTTGATATCATTTTTATGAAAATCGAACACGTATTTAACTCATAGGGGGGGATTTAAAAATGCAACTTTTTTACAAAAATTTACTTAACTTAACTTTTGAAAATGTTACAGAAATATTCACAGTTTTATTTAATCTTAAATTAAAGCTTATATAATATACTTCACTATGTTAAAAAAAAATTTCGAAATATAAATTTTATTTTTAGTAAAAATTGTTACTGTATTCAAAAATATGCTTTTTTGTGTAAAAATTCTAGGTTTTGTATTTTATTTTATTTTAAAATATCTAAAATTTAAATGAGTTTAATTTCTTATGTCTTATGAACTTTTTTCTATGTCAATTAAATCATATAATATTTATGAAAGTTAGTGTATTCCCCTTATAAGATATTTTAAATATCTTAATACAAATCCCAAAATTTTAACACAAAAATAGCATATTATTGAATACAGTAGCCATTTTCATCAAGAAGAAAATGTATATTTAGATTTTTTTTTTTTTCATAGTAAAGTATATAATATAAGTTTTAATGTAAGATTAAATAAAACTGTGAATATTTCCGGAACATTTTCAAAAGTTATTTTTTGTAAAAAAGTTGCTATTTTAAATTCTTCCTATGAGTAGAATAAGTGTTAGATTTTCAAAAAAAATGACATCAAATGAAAGGAAATTATCTAAGGTTTCAATATAAAAATAAATTTTGTTGATTTGTTGATTTTTGAAAAAGTTATGGAAGGTTTAAGAAAAAAAAAATAAAAAATTAGCAATTTTAAAAATTGTAATTTTTTTGGAGATTTCTCCCATTTGCGGGGAACGAGGGAAAATTTATCAATTTTTAAGGGTAATGTCTTTAACTAGATACGATTTTTGATCTTTTGACGTATTGTTAAAAGAAATCGGTTCGGTGAGAGCTGAGAAAAAGTAGTGACAAACACAAAAGAATAAAAAAATAAACACATCATGGTAAAATTAATACGTTCTAAGCTTCGCATCGAAGCTAATATTCTAAATTTTTTGTGAACATGTTATATAAATTATTTCTAAAAATAAGTGATTGTTAGTTTCTGCTGAATTAATAATGGATTTTTACATTTAAAATCAAGTTTTATAATACGCTCAATTGAGTAAATTTTTTAACAACTTTGTTTTGATTGATTCTTTTAGTTTAAATAAATCATTAAAATTAATTAACTTCTGAATATTTCAAATATAGAATCTTTTTAAACACCAAAAGTTACTAGGAAATGATTAATATTATTTCTATTTCAGTTATCTATTACGATAAAAATTTAAAAAAATATTGAGCTTTTCTGATAAATTTAATATAAATATAAATTATAAAATTTCCTGACTGCATATTAAACTTAACAATACAATTTTTTTAATTCTCATAAAATTTTCTATTTAATGATGTCAATTTCAAACTTGCCAATTGAGCTAAAAGTTATTGTAATAAATAAATTTTTTTTTTATTATACACTTTCACAAAAATCAACTTTTAAGGATTAACAAAATAGGTTAAATATGTCATTTAATTTTTTTTTATCATATTAATAATCAAAATTAGTATTAATTTATAACAATTTTTTTTATTCGTAATTATTTTTTTTTTATATGTAAATACGTATTTTTCAATAATAAGTATTAATATTAAAACTTAGAAGTGATAGAAAAAGTTTAATTGCATATATGAAAACATCAATATAAGTTGATTTAGAAAAGTACATTTTTGTTTCTGATGAAAATTCCTTTTGTCCAGTGTATAAAACTAATAACTTTATTATAAGTAACAAATATTTCTTATTAAAAAGTATTGCGTCAAGCTCTTTAAATTTTTATACGCGTTAAAAGTAAAGAAATATACTACTACTTTATTATTTTTATAATATCTCCGTAAAAATTACAATATTAAATTATTGAATATTGACACGACTTACGTCGCAAAAATGTGGTCGAGACTGGTTTGAGGGTAAAGACCCGTGGGCCGTTTATTAAATGAGCGACAACAGATTATGTTAACAAAAATAGAACAAACCGAAAAGATAAACACAGTAATGATAATCTTCGCATAATGTCGCGGCACTTTCGATGGCGTCGACCACGCGATGTCCGGCGTAATCCTTGGACGGCAAAATGGGTAGCAGCGTTGTAGGCGACGGTTCGCGGGTGCGGTTCGGTTGGTCGGCGTTGTCGCTTTCACAACGGGAGAACGACTGTCGCACCATTTGCGGCGGGTCGTCGTCGGCCGTGCGGCATTTTTCCGGACTTTGCGCCATAGCGTATAACACGCGGTGTTGGTCAGTCAAATACTCATAGTAGGGCGACGGCTGATAAAGGTGGCACGAGTCGCGTGGCATCGTGTATAACGAAGCGACGCGGGCCGTGTCAATATCAAATTATTGAATATTAATTATTATTGAATAGTGCTTGATGCGCACTGTCTCGGATTCGAAACTCGATCACGGGCGTCTTCATTTGCCAAACAAGATATCAGTTTGGTAATTGGAGTCACCGTTCCACTCTCCGGCGACAGACTAACCACCCGTTCCAGAGTATAAATGGTTAAGAAAACCTCCTCCTAAGGAGAGGTCGCTATGGCCCTTAATGTACTAATAAAAGCAATAAAGAAAAAAATATATATATATATATTCCTATAAAAAAAAGGCAATATTCTAGAAAATATGATAAAATGTATAGCATTATATTACATTTATGCAATTCAAAAATTTAATAACATATCTCAAAGTTATTTACCCTAAGTATTTAGCTCTCATATACAAGTTTCTTAAATTAATATAAATTTGTTGAATTGGAATTTAAATGTCAAATCATAATTCACCAGCTATGGTGGTACAATTCTAATTTATAATTAAATTTTCTACAATTATTAAAAATATCATTTACGTGGTAATTTCACAATTTCGAAATATTTGGGTATCAAATATATTAATGGCAAAATTGAAGAAATTATGCAGCAATAAATCTTGATTGATTATTTGTTTAAATTAATTTAATTCGAAATTCAACGATTGCAAATAATTAGGAATCTTTATAAGTTATATAAATTATTGTACAAATACAAAAATAATATTTATATAATAATATCTTTCGTCTTAAAAAAAAGAAACTAATATAATTTTTTAAAAATATTTTAAGATAATATGTTAAATTAACTGTTGTTAAAATTTAAAAAAAATGTTATTGCATTAAAACTCTGTTTGTAACTATTTTTAATTTGTTTTTAGATGAGACAATATATATTTATTGAAATAAAATTTTATTTGTGTAATATTGTTTTAAAATAATATGAATAAAAATGTATTCGGATATTTTTGAAATATTATTCAAATAAAAATATTTTTGAATAATTTTTAAATTAAATCTAAGGTTGGTATTGTATCTTATGTTACCTCTCATAATTGTTCATTTAAATCGATATTAATTACAATAAACTTTGAAAAATATTCGATGTGTGGTCGAACTGATAACTATGAAATAAGTATACAAAAAACCTTAAAATTTTTTTATAAATTTAGCTTCCATGAGAAGTTGAGAAGATATTAGTTTTACTATATGTTTTTTTTTTTTGTTTTGTGTCTGTTACCACTTTTTCTCAGCTCTCGTCGACCGATTTCTTTCAACAATATGTAAAATATCAAAAATTGTATTTAGTCGAAGAAATTACCCTCAAAAATTGAAAACATTTTCCTTGTACCCCGTTGTCGTAATATAATCATCATGATTATTTATACGAGACAACACTAAAATACCCTGTTCATGTACTCAACAATGCTATCTTTTCAGTATTTATTAATATATTCTTTTTCATTTCAAATAGTCACCACTTCTATCCATAGAAATGGTACATTTTAACTTGTTTCATTTTACATTATATTCTTACAAGGACATGATACCTTTCGAACAAAAAACTTAGATAAACATTTAAGAGAAATAGTCAAAAATCTCACACTATTTAACTACATTGTAGTGTATGTGGTTCGATCATAAATCAATTAATAATTACTTTAAAAATCCTTCCTCACCAAAATAAAATCTATACAGAATGGCCCACCACTCACTGACAACTTAAATAACATTTGATCCAGTTAATATTTTTAGTTAATTTTTTTTTTTAAATAATAGTTATACGTTAGGTCTATAGCTATATCTCAATAATTAATTTTTTTACATTTTATTAAAAATATTAATTATTTTAAAATTTTAAATAAAATGTAAAAAAAAAATCTAAGATAGCTATTTTGTAGAGTAGAATTTAAGAAAAATTTTAGTAAAAAAATATCTTATTAATATTCAGTAGTAAATATTCTGTAGCGTTTTGAAGTTTGTAAAAATTTGAATTTTCATGTACTATTTTACGGTTATAAACATTGAAATACGTATTGAGAAAAGGACAGAAGAAAACGCTATCTTTTCATGATTACTGTGTATACATATGATGATAGTGTGTATACATTACAAACNTATTATTTAAAAAAAAATCAGCTAAAAATATTAACTGGATCAAAAGTTATTTAAGTTGTCAGTGAGTGGTGGGCCACCCTGTATATTATTTTTGTCATCTTTGTTATTCTACTATTAATAGTTAAATGCATTGTATCAATTTTCGTCTTGCTTGTAAAAAACATGTTAATGTTTTATATGTAAATTTCAAAATAATTTATGTTCTATTCATCTGTATTGATCTCTGTGTTTTTCATGCTTACTATCAATAAACAATTATACTAAAAATTCGACAGTGACGATTTTTGGGGGTAAAAAAGATTATAAAAAGCCAGAGCAAACCCTTGCTCCTGGCTGTTCATTTCATGCTCCGTATTGGGCTGTTCATTTCGTGCTCTGTATTTGAGCTATTCTTTTCGTGCTCCGTATTTGGGCTATTCTTTTCGTGGTCCGCATTAAGTTATACGAACGTCTTAATCGTCATTGTCTAAATTTTATGTGTTAATTTGTGAACTAAAAATCTGAACTTGTGTATTTTATTTATCATCTTCACCGATATCAGCACTAAGGATAATTATAAGAACCAGATAATTTACCAGGTAAGATTTTTTTTACATCGTTATTTTATGACCCTCGAACTACACCCCGAATCAAAAGGTAACTCTCACTTACACATTTTTACACCAACAATAATAATCATTCTGACCCCTTTTTATTTTTTAGAATATTATTTAATATTTTTATTTTTGAGTTACAACACCGTAAATGAGGAAGATCCCCAAAAAATTACAAATTTAAAAATCGCACATTTTTTATTTTTTTTTTCAATTTTTTTTACTTAAAACTGCCAAACTATTTCAATAATGAATAAATCAATATAATTTTTTTTTAATCATTTTGCTGGTCCACAGTTTTCATAATAGACCAAAATATACTTCTAAACCAATTTGTATGGCAATTAAAAAATGCAATTAAATATTTTCTATCACCTTTTTTGAGATTAAAACTGTTTATAATTTTAATAGTAAAAATAATAATAGTTTCCATTTAACTTTTGTAACTTATCCCTAAATTGTACCGTATAGAATTTTCCTTATGATAAACTAGATATTTATAATGGTTTATAAAAATTTATTAAACTTGAATGTATACATTTTTATGGAAAAATCATTATTTAACGAAATATTTAGGGTAGTAAACTTAGTAAATCACATTGTATGTATGTATATATCTTTTTAAACTTATCGATTTTTAAAACTTAATCAAATTAACTTTTAAAAATGTTTCGGTAGTGCAGTATTAATTTAAAAAATACATGTATTTTTAAATATATTTGGTAAACTTAAGAGACATTAAAATGTAATATAAAATTTACCTTCATTAAATATCAAACAAGAATTTACCAAAAATAATAAAATTAATTGCCAATTCTAGAACAAAAAATAATGATTTTTTAGATTTTAATTGATTGCTTAAATATAATAGGTATACTCACCTTCATGTTTACTCTAATATATTCTGAATAACTTGGAATAACTTTTTATTAAATTGATGTATATATATATATATAGTCATCGAAAAAGTTTATTTAAATTTATATTATTATAATTTATTGCATTTATTTTTGAAATTTAAATAGTAAATTTAAGTAAATAATAATGAAAACCTTAAAAATAATAATAATTTTTAGTTAACGTATATTTGCATATGTAAAAAAAGCTGACAAAAATGGGAATAAACACATACGTGCTTGCCAAATTGTGTCTTAGTTTAGACTTTCTTGATTTTGAAAAAGATTATAGTTTAATTAAATTTGCAATTTACTATATATTCTGTTATAATAGTATGTGTGTGGTATTAATAATTGTATTGTGTTTTTTGTATTATAAAGTAGTATACTATTAATAATACTGACAAAAAAATGAAAAGGCATTTACCCGATTTTATAATAACGCCAATAATAATATAAGTTGTGTAACATTCGGCTATCTATAAAATTTTCGTTTTCGACTAGTATAAATTTTAATAAAACATAATATGTATTAATTTATATTATACAGGGTGGCCCACCACTCACTGACAACTTAAATAACTTTTGATCCAGTTAATATTTTTAGCTGATTTTTTTTTTAAAAATAGTTATACGATAGGTCTATAGCTATATCTCAATAATTAATTTTTTTACATTTTATTAAAAATATTAATTATTTTAAAATTTTAAATAAAAAGTAAAAAAAAAATCTAAGATAGCTATTTTGTAGAGTAGAATTTAAGAAAAATTTTAGTAAAAAAATATCTTATTAATATTCAGTAGTAAATATTCTGTAGCGTTTTGAAGTTTGTAAAAATTTGAATTTTCATGTACTATTTTACGGTTATAAACATTGAAATACGTATTGAGAAAAGGACAGAAGAAAACGCTATCTTTTCATGATTACTGTGTATACATATGATGATAGTGTGTATACATTACAAACTTGGCATAAATACCATGATAAGAAATTAGATAAGGCAATTATTACTTATCACTCTCATTCAAAAGTATATTGAAAAGATAGCGTTTTCTTCTGTCCTTTTCTCAATACGTATTTCAATGTTTAATACCGTAAAATAGTACATGAAAATTCAAATTTTCACAAACTTCAAAACGCTACAGAATATTTACTACTGAATATTAATAAGATATTTTTTTACTAAAATTTTTCTTAAATTCTACTCTACAAAATAGCTATCTTAGATTTTTTTTTTACATTTTATTTAAAATTTTAAAATAATTAATATTTTTAATAAAATGTAAAAAAATTAATTATTGAGATATAGCTATAGACCTAACGTATAACTATTATTTAAAAAAAAAAATTAACTAAAAATATTAACTGGATCAAATGTTATTTAAGTTGTCAGTGAGTGGTGGGCCACCCTGTATACTAAATAACATAACATTAACAATAACTACAGATAAATGGCGAACATAAAATAAACAACTAATAGTAGTAAATTTGAACAAATATCACAAATTGTTTTATTTGACAATTACAAATAGATAATTTACTTTGTCTCGGGATTTTATTTTTTTAAACATTTTCATGGTGTTTATAAAAAAGCAATAAGAGTTTGTTAAGTGGAATCGTTGAGATCTTATAATATTTTTTGCTTAAAGATACTTTATTTCACTCTTGCTTATCAATTTTTAAGTCTGTGACTGAAATTTGGATCCCCGGTTATATAATATAGAATTTGTTCAAAATATATTCTTTAAAATTTTCAGTTTAAAGTTGTCACTATAGAAAAAATCAATTAGATGCTCATAGCCAAATTTAATTTTTTTTTTTTTAGAATATAGAAGCTTATTTTGCAACATTGCGCGTATCTATTAAGTATTAAATGTATTTATTCCAAATTACTTTTGAAAATTGAGGTCCTTAGTTTTAATAGTAAAATGGTTAAAACATATCATATAGAATTCCACCGTCAAAAATTATTGTTGTAATAATTCAATAGATAGAATACTAAGCTCGTGAAATAAATTGAATAGTATAGATTTTTATACATTTCAATTTAAATGACACACGTTGAAATAATATATAGTGTGTTTATTTTGTATATTTATATTACCTCTAACTATTTTACATTTTATAGTTTAACTATTATTATTTTATTTTAATTTTATTCTAATATAGAACTATTTAAGTGTGTACTCGTATGTTAAGGGTCGCCATTCTTATAAGAAATAAAAATAATAATTTTTAAATCTTATTTGACATAAACAAACGAACATTAAACATACATACCATAAAACGCAAAAACACAAAAATAACAATTTAGAATATAATAAAAATGAATTGATTAATAAATAAATGAAAATTTTAAATGCTAAAATCATTAAGATAACTAGGCTTCCTAACATTGTCCTAAAGTCTACCTTGATTTTCTTTGGTATGGATACATCATTCATCACAGAATCTTCAGCAATTATTGTTACATCATATATTCTACTATCTTTTACTTTTTTTGCTCTACTGTCAAGTTTTTCATTTAATATCTTATAGAATTTGAGTTTTGATACAATAAATATTGCAACAACAGTAATCATCAAAAATGTTTGCTGCGAAGCATGAACTTATGTCAGAGATTAATCGGTCTGCAATCCCTACTGTTGCAAAAATTTGTATAACACATTTTATAACAGCTTGATTATCAGTAGTTTTTTTTGGAAAAAGTACGATATCTGCTTAAAAAGCTCTATCTGATAAGCCATCAAGGAACTTTCTAGGATGTATACTTAAAGAAATAAATAAAAAAATAAATACTTTTTGGGATGATAAGTGCCGTAGCTTATTCTAAGTCTCACTTATTTTATACATGTACATAATCATGAAAAATTAAAATTTTAAAGTGATATAACAAGTAAAATAATAAACTTAAATTAACAATTTAAACGCTATTATTTAAGAAAATATTAAATTAGTATTTACAGATTTGATAGAAATTCAAGTTACAAATAAATTCTCTAAATAAAGGTAGTGTTTTGACACAAAAAAAAAAAAAATGTACGAGATACATCCAGAAAGTAAGTTCCGTTGGGCAATAAAAACATGTAAATGTGTAAATTTTAATATAAATTTTATTTGAATATAAAATACAAGTACAACTTTATTTTTAAACATAGTTACCACCAATATTGAAGCACTTATCATATCGAGATACTAGTTTTTGTATCCCTTCATCATAGAAAGATGACGCCTGTGATTGTAACCATGTGCTATCAGCCTTTTTCACCTCATCATCTTCGTTGAAGTTCCTGGCCACCCATAAATAATTTCATGTGTAAAAAAAGATGAAAATCACTGGGTGCTAAATATGGACTGTAGGGCGGATGATTAAATTGTTCCCATGCAAAATCTACAAGAAGTTGTTTCGCCACATTTGCTGTGTGTGGGCGGGCATTGTCGTGGATGAAAGCAATGCCTCGGCTAAGCATGCCTCGTCGTCGCACCCATCTCCTCCTAACCATTGAATCACTCATAGCATTTTCTCCATAAACTTCACAAATTTGACGATGAATATCAACTGGTTTGATATTCTTTGCGTTTAAAAAACGAATCATCTGTGATTGTTACATCGTAACTCACATATGACAGAATTTTTTATTCGTTTATCCATTTTAAAACATTCGCCACGTAACGTACGTACACTAACTGGTCACGGAATGATTTTAAAATGTTCCAAATAAGTAAATGAAATAATCGGATATGACCGTAATTAAGATAATATCGCAAACGCGATAAAAAAGAAAACGGAACTTACTTTCTGGACGTACCTCGTATATTTCCTAAATTACTTATTAATATTGATTACATTAAACATGTATCATTTTAGATATTATTTGTAATAAATTAACAACTTTTGGTGTCATGCAAAGTGGTTTACCATGTTNTTTGTAATAAATTAACAACTTTTGGTGTCATGCAAAGTGGTTTACCATGTTATGACAAATTTCATAATTTTTGATGCAGCCAATATTTTTTGTTACTTTTTTTATAATTATTATATTATTTTTTTTTTTGTGATAAGTTAGGTCTATAAAAATGTTAAAATAAACAAGTTTTTTTTTATTAAAAAAAAATTAAGTTACAAAATATTTTGTAGAGTCAATTTTAAGGAAAATATTGGTAAAATATATTTCATTAACGTTCAGTATTAAATTATTTGAAGTATTTTAGGGTTTGTTAAAATTAGAATTTTCGTTTGTATTTTGAATGAAATATTTAATGAGAAAAAGTCAAAAAAAGAAAAATAAGTCGTTTTACACTAGATAATAGTTATAGTTATATACATTTTCCTATGAAAATTAACATAATTTTCAAGAAATTATGATAATAGTTTATGTTAAATAATTAAATAGAATCAGTGTGATTTTTAAAGTAAAATCTTAATATTATTATGTATTTAGATTTTACTTTTAAAAAATATTTTGTTTTTAATAATATTTCATTATATGTTAAATTTCCATACATTTTTCTGTCATGCGAATTTTCAACAAATAATGATTAAAATAACAAATTTTTTTTCTTAGGAATGAAAATAGTCTATTCAAATAAATATACGTGTTTTTTAATTAAACTATAAACTAAATTATATATATTATTAAAATAAAGTAATGCGTAATTTAAAATGTTTACTTTTGCTACTAACGCACAGTATAAAATATTAAATTTTCAATTTAAATAATTTATTTTGTTTTTTAACATCATAGAGGAGAAATCATGTTATGTATATTCTGTACATTTTTGTTTTTTTTAATGAAAAAAAACAAATGTGTGATATTAGCTAACGTTAAATTTACTAAAGTATAGAAACATATGTATTGATCACTAAATACTTAATAGAATTTTTTATTTTTTACATTGAAAACTTACAAATATTTACTATTGAATTTTTGCATTTGAAGGTATTTGAGCTATTATATTTATGCAATTGTTATTTAGCTGATATTTTTTTATGAATTTCATTAGATAGATTATTTATGATATAAGTTTGAGAAAAATTATTTTTAGCATAAAATAATTTTA